GCCAGTATGCAAGAAATGACCATTTTCTTTGTCTGAGCTGAGGCGCAGGCAAAGGAATTATCTGTGTTGTATTCTGGTAAGGTGTTAAGAGAACCTTTACTTTTGTGTGTAGGTCATCCCTTTCCTGGTGAAAAATGAAATTCTTTAAAGCTCACATAAGACATTACTGTTGAAATCTTGTGGGGCAAAAATGTCAGTGATATAACATATCCAGATATGTTTAACTTACTAAGCGAAGTGAGATGACAGAGTAGTTTAGTGGCATCAGAGAGATTGGTGGGAAATAAGGGATTCAGGTATATTAAGGTGCATAGTAACTCTGTGTGTGTGTGTGTTTTGCTTATTTATTTTACCTTAAAGTTTAATATAATTTTCTCCTGAAAGGACTGACTTTGAGTACTAGTGCAGGAAAATCCCAGTATGTATTAATGTCATTTCTTTATTCATTTGCCAATAAAACAGAAAACAAAACGAAACTGGGTATATGCCTGATTCTGGAAGAGATCTCCATGAGATCAACATAAAAGGCTTGGACTATTTAAACTATGAATTATAGACTCTTAGATATCATCCTAGTTCACTCAGACTATCAGTATCTTCTGGAGTCTATAGAGTCCACTTTTTATCAGAATAGCCAGTAGTCTCCATAGACGGTCACCCTGAAGACCTGAAAAAGATTCTCTCTTCTCATCTCCCCATCCATACCTTCTGCCTCATCCTGAGTGAGTTGCCTTTGGTCGATCCATATCCTTTAGTGTATGAACCCAAGTTATCCAGTTATAAGGGTTCATTCTGGTTGTAAGTTTAAAACATTCCCCACGACATAAAGGGCACATCATGTCATTCTCTCCTTGGGCTCTATGTAGAGCCAAGGATGAAATTATCAGGGTTCTTTTTTAGAACTCAGTCTTGGGAAGTCAGTCATAGCTTGGCAAACCAACACAAGAATTCTGCCAAAGGCTTTTAACCTCTAAGTCACTCTCGCTGATGGAGACGTTCAACTTTTGATTACCTCTTCTGCCATAGCTGAATGCTGTATTCACCTGCACTAAGCATAACTCAGGTGGACAGTGATTCTCCCAGGAGCCCTGTTGGATGATGGCGAGGTTATTTTGAAGTGGACATGGAAGGAGTGATACACAAAATTACCATTAGGCACATGATACTGATTGCTTGTGGCCAGGATCCATCCTCCTTGGCTGAAGTCCCATTCTTGGTTGCGTGGTACCCATGCAGTTCTTGCTACTGGATGTTAAATATTTTGACCAATCACCTGCATTCCCAATACGAATGCACTGCATATTAGAATTGTTGTTAACTATTACATTTCTTTCTGAATTCATCTACAAATGACATCAAGAACATCTAATGACATTGTTGCATGTTTTATTTTAAAAGTTAGTTGTATGGTGTACCTCAGAACCACTTCTTTTCACCTTACCCAACATGTTTTTTAAATACCTATATAGAAAATAAATAAATAAAATACCTATGCAGGCACCCTGTTGTTTTAAAAGAAATTTACTCAATTTGTCATAAAGTAAAGTTAATTTCACATTTTTCTTTCATTAATATTCTTTATCCTTCTAGACAGTTCTGTACTCCTCGGTCTTGATGTCTCTTTTTACTCTATTGCTAGAAAAAGGGGGGAAGTGTTTGATGGGTATTAACTGGGGCCAGGATCCCCCAAATCAAGATGTAATATGAAGCCAGGTAAGAGGGAAAAGAACAGGGAGCAGTGACTAATGCAGTTAGGATTTCTGTTTATCTTACGTAGGGTCCAGACATCTGAAACCCCCTTTAATTTTTGGAATTAAGAATAAGGATAACAGTGCCTACCATTTATTGCACCTGATTCCTCTTGAGCACTGTTACACTTTCCACACAGTGGCATGTCTGAATCCAGGTGACAAATTGATCTTTGCGTTCATTTGGGTTGATTATTGCGTTGTGTGGTCTGATTGCGTGAGGAATTTGGCCAGACACGCCCTGCTGGCTGAGCCAGTCCTTCTTGTATTTGATGACCTGTGAAGGTCTGCTTTGCTCACCACTAACCCAAACCTTTCTTTCTTCTTTTTTATTTTCCAATTTGTTTAAAGACTTTATTTCAACAGCTGTTACAGCTTATTAGTCATCAAAATGATCAGTGGATGTGTTATAGCTTCTAGGCCGTAAAGCAGCTTCAATTGCTGAGTTACTGCCACCAGACTCCCCGGAAGGCTTTAGGCTTTCAGTTGGTAGTTAGTTTCTTTCCACTGAGCCGTAACTTGTGGAAGGTAGAGTGGGAGAGGTATTTATAGAGGATCCGTGTTGCTCTGTTGCAAAACTTCTGTCAGGTGGCTAGTCTAGCCATTCTGGAATGAGAATCGGGAATGCTCTTGAGCAACTGAGTCAAGTGAGTGATCAGAGAGGAAACCAGCTGGGCCTTGTGGAGCTGACATTCCTGGATCCCAACCTTGAGCGTCAGCCTGGAAAATGGGGTGAGGACAGCTTGAGGATATCCCAAGTTCAGTGTAGACGGGGAACCAACTGGCCTATTTTGGTGGGACTGTGTGTGTGTGTTGAGAGGTGGAGGGCGTGGAATAAAGTTGTAATTGCCACTGGGGAGCCTGCATACTCTGGGCCCCCAGAAACAGTCCCCCACCCCAAGAGGGCTGAGAAGTGAAGCCAATGGTGCTCAGATAAGGTAGCCAGAAAGGCTTCTTGTGGCCGCTACATATTTGCACCTCGCTTGCATTTTGTATTGGTCATTCCCATTATTAAATCTTTCATCACATGTGAAACTCCTGGGGCAGGGGCTCTGCACTGCTGGGTCTTCCCAAAGACAACACAAGGAAGCTTGGGAGTCCTGCCGTTCTTCCCCCGCATTCTCCTCTCAGAGCCATACTCAAGAGCGCTCTCTTAAGGGTAGGAACTGGGTAGGAACTAGAGCTGTATGCTAGAATAATGCCTGGTCCCAAGCAAGTGCTTGATAAATACCGTTTCCTAAATGAGTGAATGTGTAAGATGAGGCATCGGTATATATTCAAGGTACTGGGCTCTGCTTTATTTTCAACCTTCTTCTGTTGCCTCTGCTTTTTCTTCTCTCTTTCCCCGTCACCCACACTATGGGTCTCCCAGCTGCTCATCTTAATTCTCATCTATTTGAGCCCACCTCCTCTCTCCTCTTCCCCCTGCCTCACCCACCCCCAGTCATGTATGTCCTCCTTGTCTGTCACATCCCCAGAAGCCTGGGTAGGAATGTGGGCTCCTGTGACAACACAAATAGAACTTAAAGAGTGGACCTGGGATGTGCCAAGCCCGTTTGTCCCTTCCCTTAGGTCCCTTTGGAAAATCTCCTGGGTTTTGACGAAAACAGAAAGTATCAAATCTTCATATCCTGAATTAATTTGTATTTCTTATTCTGCTCCTTGCTAAACACAGCAGTGTAATTGCAAATTAGTTTTCCCTTTCCCCATTAAGTTGATTCCTTTTCCTATTGAAATATATTTGACATATAACATTATATTAGTTTCAGGTGGACATATATGAATATTAAGAAAGGATCACCACATAAGTCTAATTAACATCCATCGGCTCATTAGAGTTACAATTTTTCTTTCTTGTGATGAGAACTTCTAAAATCACTCTCTTAGCAACTTGCAAATATACAGTACAGTATTATTAACTATAGCTACCGTGCTGTACATTATATGCCCATGACTTATTTATTGTATTTATTATTATAACTACAAGTTTATATCGTTTATATCTTTAGACCACTTTTACCCACCCCTCACCTCTTGCCTCTGGCAACCACCAGTCTGCCAAGAATCTACGATTCTTGAGTCGTTGATTCTTTAATCATCGTTTCTTCTAAAGGAGAGCTAATGGGAGACCCTGTGGGAATCCCTGCTCTCTGATGGTAATGACACAGCCCAGAAGTCCCTGCTGCCTGAGCAGGAAGTACCGGGCTTACAGTGGCCAACTCCTGTTGGCTTCTTTTCATCACATGGCAGCCCCAGAGGATGCACTGTTAGGATTCCTCCTCCCATGTGCCTGGGATTCCCTTCCATCTTCTCTCCCTCCTCAAGTTGCACCCTTATCCCATGGATCATTATTTCCTCCCAACCTCCTAGGCTCAAGTAAGTAAGGAGGTGGTGAGTGAGAGTGAAACTTCCCTTCAGGTTTTCCCTAGCCGTGTCCTTTCCTCTCTGATCCCGCCCCTAGACTGCACCAGATGGGAAAGATGCTTACTATTTTCCAGGGCTGATACTAGAAAATGTGCCTGGAACAAGTTTTAGAGAACACAATTTTAGCACTTTTGATACATTGGACCACATTTATTAAGTGTCTCTAAGAAGCTATGACCTCAAATTTTAAACCACTGCACAATTTTCCCTCCAAACCGGACAACATTGAGTTCTACATCAGGTGTATTTGGTTCCTGTGGCTGCTGTAACAAAATACCACAGATTTGGTGGCTTAAATCACCACAAATGTATTATTCTACAGCTGTAGCGACCAGAAGTCCAGGTGGGTTTCACAGGCCAATAGCAAGGCGTTGGCCGTGCCACTCTCCCTCTGAGGGCTCCTGGGGAGAATCCATGCCCTTGCCTTTTCCAGCTTCTAGATGCTGCCTGCATTCTTTAGCCCCTCCTCTACCTTCAAAGCCAGTGGTACCATCTTCCAGTGTCTCTGACGCTGCTTCTGCACCACATCTCCTGCCCCACTCTGACCCTGCTGCTTCCCTGTCACATATAAGGACCCTTGTCGTTGCAGTCAGCCCACTTGGATGATCCAGGACGGTCTCCCCATCTCAACATTCTTAAAGGGGGACGTCTGCAAAGTGCCTGTGCCCTGTAAGGGGACATAGTTACAGGGCCCAGGGCTTAGGGGTGGACATCTGACAAGGGCCCTCATGCAGCCTCCCACATCAGGGAAGCCACCCTGTCCCCTGGGGCTTCTCCAAAAAATGTGAATATCAAAGTACATTTTCTAACTTCTTGTTTTATTTTCAGATGCAGAGAGAACTTGTTTATGCAAGAGGAGATGGCCCTGCGGCCTCTCGACCTGGGTCCACAGCGCACCCAGCCCACGCCATTCCAAATTCTCCGCCCTCCACGCCCGTGCCCCACTCCATGCCTCCCTCCCCATCCAGAATTCCTTATGGGGGCGGCCGCCCCATGGTGGTCCCCGGCAACGCCACCATCCCCAGGGACAGGCTCTCCAGCCTGCCCGTGTCCAGGTCCATCTCCCCCAGCCCCAGCGCCATTCTGGAAAGAAGAGACGTAAAGCCCGATGAAGACATGAGCGGCAAGAACATCGCGATGTACCGAAACGAGGGTTTCTACGCGGATCCTTACTTGTACCACGAGGGACGGATGAGCATCGCCTCTTCCCACGGCGGCGGCGCGCACCCGCTGGACGTGCCCGATCACATCATCGCCTATCACCGCACCGCCATCCGGTCGGCGAGCGCGTACTGCAGCCCGGCCTTACAGGCGGAAATGCATATGGAGCAGTCCCTGTACAGGCAGAAACCCAGGAAATACCCGGACAGCCACTTACCCACTCTGGGCTCCAAAACGCCCCCCGCCTCCCCGCACCGCGTCGGCGACCTGAGGATGGTGGACATGCACGCGCATCACAACGCCCACGGGCCCCCGCACACCCTGCAGCCGGACCGGGCCTCGCCCAGCCGCCAGTCCTTCAAGAAGGAGCCGGGCACCCTGGTGTACATTGAAAAGCCACGGACCGCGCCAGGACTCTCCGGCCTGATGGACCTCGGCCCTCCGCTAGTGGAGAAGCAAATGTTTGCTTACAGCACCGCTACGATCCCCAAAGACAGAGAGACCAGGTAAGGGGGCGGGGAGGAGGGGGGATGGCGAAGGGGGGCTGTGCCCACGTGTTGTTGAGCGCAGCTCCTCAGAGATCAGACCAAGAGAACAGATGTCAGCTGAGCATTGTGCCCTGCGGATGCTGCGGTGGGCTCAGCCGAGGCTCAAAGGCCAGCCTTGTCTGCGGCCTCTAAATTGTTGGGGGTCAAGTGAGGCAGAGCCACGGCCCTGCTCAAGAAGGGCAGACGCACCAGGAGTGGTCAGTGCAGGCTCCTGAGCGTGGGTCAGACCGCGTCATCCATAACTACATCTGAATAATTTGGAAGAAAATTGTGGTTAGCAGAAACCATTCAGACCCAGAAATCCAGAGCTCATAATAACGATCCGCCACAGAAAATAAGGAGTGAGTGGCCCAAGGTGTAGCTGTTTAAAGTGATGATTTGTGTTTTTCCTTGTGTGGTGAGATTTTGTTTTCTCATCTGGTTTGGGGAAATGGAAAGAAGGTGTTACTGGTTGTCATCGAGAGTGATAAAACATGAATTTGCATAAAAATAGGATGGTTTAGATTTACTGCTCATTCCAGAGTGATACTGAGATCAGCAAAATTATCTGGTGAATGACACACTCTAGCCATTTTAATTTCTGTTTTAATATACATATTATTATAATTTGCCAGTCTAGAACCTTCCTACTACATTTTTAAAACTCTCCAAAGTTCATATAGTAAAAGAAAAGCTAATTTTGATAGAGCAGTGGTTCTCAACCTTCCAAATGCCGCGACCTTTTAATACAGTTCCTCATGTTGTGGTGACCCCCAATCATAAAATTATTTTTGTTGCTACTTCATAACTGTAATTTTGCTACTGTTATGAATCATAATGTAAATATCTGATATGCAGGATGTATTTTCATTGTTACAAATTGAACATAATTAAAGCATAGTGATTAATCACACAAAAAATATGTAATTATATATGTGTTTTCCGATGGTCTTAGGCAACCCCTGTGAAAGGGCTGTTCGACCCCCAAAGGGGTTGCGACCCACAGGCTGAGAACCGCTGTGATAGAGGGAATTTCTCTAGCCTGAATTGGTTAAAGGAAATCAACATAATAATTATAATCATAAAATATCTAGTCAAAAAATGCATCCCAAACTAGTTGTCATATAAATCCAGAAGATGTATGAAAAATGATCTACATATTTAACCATTCAGTACCTTATAAGAAGTAGTGTTACCTGTTCCTCACTAAAAATGGTAATATCACTTACTACTATTACATAACCTTATAAAAAGAAGGCCAAAATTGTGAATGTAATATGAATTGTCTGTCTTACTTTTTCACACACAAATCAGAAAGCCCTGTCCTCATTAGCAGATTTTATCATGAAAGGGCTGTCTCTCCTTACCTGTTCAGGCACAGCAGAAAGGTTCCTGGAGGATGGAAAGGGAATGAACATGGTCGTTTGGGAATCATTAAAGCTCTAACAAAGTCTGTGCTTTCACACGAGTAAAAAAATATACTAGCCGTGGTGACTGGCTTGATTATGTCGGACTGAGAAAAAATAAGGATTGGGAGATGATATGTATTCTCCCCTTCCCAAAGGCCGTAGGAAGTGACATTCTAACACTCGAAGAAAGGAACACAGACTGCTGAGGGGTATGGGAACACTGAGGCTTATTGGAATAGACCAATGTCACAACTAGAGGGAAATCTACCAAGATGTGCCTTGTTGCTCAGAAGCTTGTGCCCTGTGCTTTGAAGAAAGGGTGACACGTCCTCTGGGGTGGGCTGTAAGGGGCTGGTGGGAAAAACTAGTCACTTAGGGGAAGGACTTAGAATCATAAGAATTTAGTAAGGAAACAGTAAAAACCATCCATCTCCAGGATACTATGTGAGGGCTAGAATCCATCCTCCCCACCATCCCGGCCCCACCACCACCACCACCACCACCACCATGCTGACTCACCTTGTGGGTCTAAGAGAATTGAGAGCTTGGTTCCACCGTGGATCATATTAAGCTATTTCCACCCTGCTGGGCTGTAGGCACGTTTTGGTCAATGACAGTGTATGACTTCTTTCCCAGCATGCAGTTACCACATGTTTATAACTTAATGAGCATCACTGAGCCCAGGTTTTTCTTTTTAATTTTTATATTTTTATTATTTCAGAGAGGAAGAGAGAGATAGAAACATCAATGATGAAAGAGAATCATTGATCAGCTGCCTCCTGCACACCCACAATGGGGATTGAGTCCGCACAACCTGGGCATGTGCCCTGACTGGGAATCGAACCACGACCTCCTGGTTCATAGGTCAACGCTCAACCCCTGAGACACGCCCGCCAGGCTGAGCCCAGTTTTTTACAGCACCTAGTTATGGGAGGGAACAAAAGAACTCTCTGCTCTGTGGCGCCTTCTCTATATTGGATCAAAGTCATGAAGAATTTTAGCCTGCAGCAGTATCAGAATTCTTTTAGGGCTTCTGCTTCCTCTTTAGGTTTCTATTTTACCAAAGCTTGGGAAAAGTAGATGGATTTATGTTTTATATGTTAGAAACCCTTTTGAGAAAATCTAAATGACCTTATTTCTAGAATAACAAGTATTAGAAAAATTGACTAAAAAAGAATAATGTTCACCTAAACTATACTGTCATTATCGCTACCATATTCTGACATATGATTACAATTATGAACATAATTTTACTTTTTTTTTTTGTTCCCTGAAATGTGAAATAACAGAGGGAGAATTTTATCTCACATCTGGCCGAGGTGATTCCTCACCTGTTAACCAGCTTATCTTCAGAGGATGGAATTGGAGTCCTTGTACATACATGAGCAGGCTAGATTCCCTTTTCCTGTAGGCCAACACGCACGTGCACACATGCACACATACACATGCACACAAATATACACACACACACACGCACATACATCGGCATTTAGAGTCCGCATTACTGAAACACCTAAACATCCTTAACCCAGGCACATGACATAAGTGTGTATAGAACGATTCTCTAGTAAAAAGTCTTGAGTCTGGAAATTTTGCTATCAGCACTCCCACCTATTATCCCATAGTTACCCAGATAGTCATACTTCCTCCTCTTCACCTGTAGTTCTGAACGCTTCTAGAGAGCTTAGTGACTGAGCTGCAATGTAGTACTGCTGGGCACTACATTTATTTTATAAGTACTACTATTTTAAGAAGAAGAGTGCTGGTGGTAACAAGCTTTTACTGAAAGCCTTTTATGGGCCAAACACTGTGTTAAGTAGTTTCTACACATCTTGGGATATAATCATCATGACTCAGTGAAGTACCGGTATGTAGTATCATCATTTCAATTTTACAAATGCGGGAACTGAGCTCAGAGAAGTGAAGTAACTTGCCCAGGGTCACAAAGCCACTAAGTGGCATGTAATGCTCAAGTCCATTAAAGAATCCATACTTTTTATCAATGTGAAATATTCTGCCTGGTGCATAAGAACTATGAGTCCCACCTTCACTGAGAAAATAAGTGAATTCTGAGCATTTTAACCAGAATTTTCCAAAAATGTTTTCAGGACTAGATGCTAAGTGACTGCTCCTGAAGGATATTTACAATCGTAATCACGGTAGAATTTGCATAATTAGCTGCTAAATATATACATGCCATTTAAAATATAGCTGCCCTAGCTAATACATTAGCACAATTATGAAGAAATAAGGAAAGAATATAGAGAACCTTCTTGGTAGATGTTATGTTTAAAACAATGAATGTGAGTACTATGTCAATGAAATTTTTTAAAAACAAGAACATAAAACACTTACTGAAGCACAAAATTACAGTCCATTGTTTCACCTATACTGTGACGTTATTTCAGATATATTTAATCTGTGGAAGTATTTTTAAAAGAGTCTTCAATGCCTAAATGTCTAACTTCATGAGTACAGGGTCCTATAAAGTGCCAAACCAATTTCTGTTGCAGTTAAATGATGTTAAAAAGCAAATAAACCTGAGAGTGCTCTTTTTATAAAGCTCTGAAGTGAACTTTTACATCTAAGACGCGAAGCTACAGAAGCACAGGAGGGAGACCAAGAAGTCTGTGGCGATGCTTTCTTTGGGGCACAGCTGGATCCAGATGCTGTTCAGAAGAGCACTCTGTGGAAGGGCCCACATAACTGCAGGATGTTTGCAATCACAGAGGAAAAATCCTTTCTTTCCCATCTGTGCTCAGGAAATTTCCAATGGTAGTTTTTTGTGTATTTTTTTTGAAGGCACATTATTTTATAACAGCCGTATTGACTTGAAAATGAGTTTAAAGTAATTTCATCTTGATTCTTATATTTAGTCATGTGCCTTGATTTAATAAATTTGGCATCTCTTGTTTTTGCTTCCACAAATATGCTTCCACAAAACACTGAAAAATGACAAATTGTACATCGAAGATCTGGGGAAAAATCATGTATATAGGAGAATATATATGTTGGTAGGGCTCTCCTCCCAAGATGGCTATGGGCTTTGGGGTAGATGAGCAAATTACAACTGCTTTGACCTTCAGGAGAGCAATTCTCATATCTGAGCTTCTAGAAAGAAAAGAAAATGATCTTGAGTGATGAAATGACTTTACTCAGATGACTTCCCTTCAGCTGGAACTCCAAGAAGCGAGTGGGTCCCTGTGCCTGTTAGGAAGTGCCGAGGGAACGATGTGTGACATGACTTAGTGCACAGGCTCTCTCTTCCCTCGGTTTTAAAATTACTTCATTAAATAGCATCATTATTTCTATTCATGGCACATAAAACAGCCCTTAAGAATTATAAAATTCTAGGACATTTATGTTTTGCTATCTTCTATTTATAGTTTGTATCATTTAATGTGCAATATCTTTATTGAAATAACACTCAAAATTTAAGGGTGCTCATTTCAAAGTGACTAATAGTTCTCCTTCCAAATGTATAACAGATTCCTCCTAATGTAATATTTTTCAACAAAACATGGTATACCTGAACTAAGATCATATCTTACTATTCTGCACGTACAGTAG